CTGAGAATATCTTTAACAATCTTAAAAGTGGTCCCTAGCACTGCGGATCAGCCCAGTTCTTGTCCTCTATTTAGGTTTGGTTACAGGCTCCCAATCCATACAACCCTTAGCCGAAGGTGTAGAGAAGCGGTGGAAGATGAGTGAAACCCAAGTCATGGAAACATTTAGACTAGATTACACAAATGATGTGCGTAATATTTGTCAACCTGGTCAACTGTGCATCGTTTCTCCTGTTCTTCCAAGACTTCCTTTTTGTTTGTATTTGATGACACAGCCTTAGGAACACAAAAGAATAAAGCCCAGACATCATCAATCCTTTGGTGATTAAATGTGCATTAGCAAATTCCTGGTTTATCCTGATTCACAGCCCTAAGGCAAGACCAGAGGCTAGATGTATCATCTGGATTGTTGCAAAACATTCAAAGTTAGTGGCCCCTCCCTGCTTTTATCCATTTCTCCTAACATGACTTAAGTGCAAATTGCTGTGAATAAAGGTAATTGTCAGGTTTTACTGCAGGGGTATAGGGGTTTTGTGGGTTTTGTTTTGTTTTGTTTTTGTTTTATTAAAGGAAAAAGTAGTTTGATTTTATGGGCTTACCCCCTTTTCTTATTTTAAAGATTTATTTATGCATAAAGAACTGGGGTACAGGCCAGAGATGCAGGGGCAGTGAGAGGATTCAACAGAGTCAGAGTGGGGAGCAGAACAGGCTGATTGAGGAAGTACACTGCTGAGGGGAGCAGCAGGCGGGCCAGGAGAGGTCTGCTTTGCCACGGATCAACTTCGGGCAGGAATCAACTCATGCAGATGTGGCTTTAGTTTCTTAGTGCTGTGCTTTAACCCACTGCATCACCAGGGAGGTCCTTCCCCATTTTTTAAGATGACCAAATTTATTTAGTTAAAAGCTCTTAACCAGCTTTTTAAAAATTTCTTTGAGAAGAATTTACTTATTTATTTATTCATTTAGGCAACGTTGGTTTACAACGCTTTATGTGATTTAGGGTAACAGGTTCATACATCGGGAGATGTGTGTCACCATATTACAGGGCAGGGAGAGAGGGGCACCCCTGAACCCCCAAACCTGCCTGCTCTAAATAGGTTCTGCCATCCGCCGCATCAAGACAAAACATATAATACTTTAATGAAAAGTGAGCATACAACACAGAAGGCAAAGAATATAATTTCTAAATCAAACACCTGAAGTTACCCATTCCCTCGTGGGCAAAAGTCAAACTAAAAGGGATTGGCCCAAAGTAAGGCCTGAAAACCCACCACAAGACTTAAGCACCTTCTGGCCAGGACCCACCGAAAAGGGTCAGAAATGGCCAGACAAGTCTGGGAGGAAAAAAGCAAAATCAAAATCAATATAAACACTACCATAGTCAAGCTCCCCAGGGGTCTCTCACCCACATCTCTTTCAACCATTCCAGGGCCAAGAAACAAGCACGGGTTCTTCATATGTCTCCCTTTGTTCCATGTGGCTTCCTCAGGTCTGCTTCTGGCTCTCCATCCTGCTTCCTTCTTATCTTCCTCCTTCTCTTCTTTCCTTTTCCCTGCTCAGCTCCATCCTTCTTCTGGGTGGGGCAGGGAACCTGGTACTTCCCTTTCCTAGGGACCACCCAGTTACAACCACACCACCACTTTTACAATCAAAGCGCCCAGACCCATCTTCATAGATCACTGCATCACTTTCCCGCCTTGTCCCCATTCATACTATCCCTCCCTCTTGAGCTGTCTAAATTCTGTAGTCATAATTCTAGGCCTTGTTTTAGTTTGTTTTGTCGGGTTCTTTTTAACCAGTTCCTTATACACTTTCAAGTCTGACTTGATTTAGATGCTATGGCTGGACAAGTTTAATTGTTTGAATCAAAATGGAAATATTGAACCAAAATCACAGTCCCTGTTAACAATGTTGTGAATAGAGTCCTCCCTTCAAGGAAAACTTTGTGCTCATTTTCTACGCTTGTCTGATACTTCTATAAATATTATGTTTCAGTAAAATAATTTTTCTTGTCAAAATTTTCATTTGTTCACTAAAAAAATGTTTAGTGATGTCTGCCATATGCCAAGCATTATTTGGAATGCTAGAAAAACTGGTTTTCAAAATAAAATCCCTGTTCTTTAAATTTAACTTCTAGTAGGAGAGGCAAAGGTGATATTAGAAATAAATAAAGTTAAATGGATTATGTCCTCATCACCTCAGTCTTACTAATTTTTTTGCAAGGGTACATTTTCATTACATATGGAAAATACTTTTTGCTTGAATATAAATGTGATATAGCTTTATAATAATAAACATAATAATAATAATAATAAATGGTTCTCTGCTTCCTCTCTTGCTTAATATTGGTTGGAAATTCAAATTTGCCCTTTCTTTCTGGTAATAGAATTCTATCAGTAAACATAAATTGGAGCTCCCATTTCATGCTCTTGTGCTGTGAGCAAACTCAGATAAAGTACAATAGGAGTTTTCACTGTTTAAAGACCAAGCACTTAATGTTTGTATTTGTCCAGGCTCCAATTTCAAAAGGGAAAAAACACAGAAACTATATCAACTCCATGATATAATTGGTATGACAAAGTAGAAGGATAACTGGATTTAGGGATTATTATTTCACTACTTTATCTCAGATATCCAACTGACAGATGGAGGAACCCAACACAGCATAGTCCCTGTGACAAGAGAAAAGCACTGTCAGGTACATGACAGACCAGAAGTCTTCATACCTGCAGAAACTTTGCTTAGTTACAGATTTGTGATTTGCTTAACTCAAATTTATCACTACCACAGCCTCCCACCTGTAGCCCTCATTTTATCTGCTTGCTTCTCACCCCAACTGGCTGAGAAAACAGTCTGTTTACTTGTATCAAAAACTTAAGTTTCCCTACAATAAAATTCCCTTGAAAATAAAACAATATGAAAGGAACAAACAAGATACAGTGAATTTTTTTAGCAATGCTGTCTCATTTACTTTTTTTTAAAATCCTCTGAATAGATATATTTAAAAATAACATTGTATATCCTTGGGGGCTATATTGGAACTCCCCTCATCAATAATAATAATGAAATATCTATTAAACATTATAGATCCACTAATAACTCTAAGAATGGGATTTTATAATCTCTGCATTATGAATAAGAACAGATACATGAAAGCGCTTCTTAAAGAGCACTGTGGCCATTGCATTTGAAATCGTACTTCAGTGAATGTGTTGACAGGTCTAAAGAAGGGATGGGAGAATACTGATCTGTCACAGAAGACTGGAGAGCTATTAATATGAAGTACATATTAACAGAGTTTATCCCAACACAATCCCATGGTAAGAAAATATTAACCAACAGATCAAGTGTTTTCAGTCTCTTGGCAATATTACCCATACTCTGGAGATAATAATGGGAGGTACAGTCAACAAAATTCTATTATTATAATTATTGTTATTATTATTATCTCACTTGGAAAAAAATTTTTTAAGATTTTATCTATGCATACAGACCTGGGTTACAGGCCAGAAGTGCAGGGGTGGTGAGCAGATTCACCGGAGATAGAGTGGGGAGCAGAACAGGCTGACTGACTAAGTGCACTGCTGAGGGGAGCAGCGGGCAGATCAGGAGAGGTCTGCTGCGCCAAGTGAGTCACATCCCGGGGCAGCATTGAACTCTTGCTGAAGCGGCTGCAGCTAGCTTCCTAGTGCGGTGCTTTTAACCAATTGCGCCACCAGGAAGGGCCCGATTCTGATGATTAAGCTAATACTAGTTTCAACTTCAGCTGGGTGTCTATGGCTCCTGGGGCCCAGGAATATTGCCTCTCCTAAGAATGGAGCAAACTTCCTACTCTTGCTGATCTCTTGATTGCCTTACTGTTTCATTTTGGTTTTCAACATCCTCCACAACTTGCATAACCAACTTCTAATAATGTTGAATGGCTTTTGTTTTCTTATTGGAACCTGATGCTTTTTTTATTGTCAATGGCATTTAATTATATATTTGTGCTTGGAAAACAAAGAAAGACTCTATCTCCAACTTTTTGTGATAAAAGCATATCAGAACTAAAATGACATCCATGAAGGTAATTATTTCCAGAAGTTTCTGTTAGTAAACAATTCTTTGTATAACATTTTTCTAGTTATAGCTACACAAGAAACTTAATTCTGTGTTAGGTTCATCTGAAGTCAGTGACAAACATATTCAAGAGTTTCTATAATAATCTATGAACATTTCTGATGTAGTAATATATAACCTGCCCTCTGCACCTAGAGGAACTTACACTGAAAACTCATTTGAAACAAGGAGGTTTAGGGTGAAGCCAGGACACATCTAAGTGTCCAGATAAGAAGACTTTTCTCAGGAATCTCTGCTTGTTATAATTCCCTTCTAGAGAGGTAAAGATGAACTCTCAGCCACACCAGAGAAATCTCCAATTAATTAAACATAATAAGGAGTATATTTTACATATCATATACTTCATAAAACAACTCACAATTGGTTGCCTGATAGGATACATTGAGAAGAGTAGAACAGACAACATTGCTTTTGTAATATTCTTGCCAACAATGCATAATCTGAATTTAATCCCAAGAAAACATCACACAAACCCAAGTTGGGAGCCATTTTATAGAATAACCAGTTTCTATTCTTAAGGACTGTTAAAATGAAAATTAAGGAAACACTGAGAAATTGTTCCTTATTGAAGACAATATGACAACTCAATGAATAAGTGATTCTCTCATGGATGAGTGGTAGTAGGAAATCAATGTGATTGTCATGGTTGATTTAGTTATATTATGGTTATGTGAGAATATGTCCTAGCTGGAGGAAATAAATACACAATTTTGATGGATGATGCAGCTCCAGGCTAGCAACTAATTCTCAACTATTTCAGGGGGGGGGGGAAGGATTGTACACTATTTGTATTTCTTCTGAGAGTTTAGGATTCTTTTCTAGATAAATAGTGTAAAAGGGTAAACTCATTCTGTGTCGCACATAAACAAGTTCAGATTAAAATTTGGCTTCCTTTCTTTATTGTAGTTGACTACAATTTAAAATAAAATACAAAATACTTAATAAACAGAAATCCAGTACATGTGAGAAACAAATAAGAGACATGTATTAGTATTTACAACTCTTTAATCTTTTCAAAAGATAACAAGTTCAACATACACTTAGACCTTTTCCCTCTAAAAGGGGTAAATTAGCAGGCAATCCTAAAGGAAACATTGATACAAATGTTGTTTTGTATACTACTTTATAGCATAAAAACAGTGCACATTGAAAATCGCCAGTTACAAAGTGGTAGCTCTTATACACAGTAATTCCCACCCACATATCACATGCCTCTTGAGATACAGAGACTTACTTTCTCTGAGGAAACATACCTCTTTCCTTGACTAAGATAGTCTTTCCAAACTAAAGAAAGGCCCTTCCACTCAACGCCAGGATTTTTATAATCATTAGAACTTTTGTTTATACAAGAATTAATAGGGTTTTCCTTTAAGAAGAAACAATTTTCAAGAGCTAACTTATATTTTGCTTGTTACACATTAACTTATAGTGCACATAGAAGCTAGATAATTACCAAAGATCAAATGCATCTTTTAAGTATTCAATTCATTAAATATTTACCACATGTCAATCTCCCCCACGTTCCATACAAAGAGGAGAAAACAGACTTCACTAAAGTATCAGCTTTAGTTTTCAGGAGCCCCTGGTATGCAGCCATGTACATTATTATTACACATTTACTGAAGCTCAGCTATCCTGTCAAGACTACTATAGAATAAATGCAATGATTAAAAGCTATATCCAGAGGAAGAAAAGGTCTCTGAAACAAGTCATCCAAATCAAGGAAATTCAGATAAACTTCTCTCAGAAAATAGGTCTACCATGTGTTCGTCTTAGGTGTAGTTATTAAACTAGTCTTTGGTGTTACTCCATCAACACCAGAAGAGCAAAAGGACCCTCTCCCCCAACTGCCTTCACCAAAAGTGAACAAAAATATACAAAAGATAATAGATTATAATGGATAGTTAAAGTCAACTTACAAAATTCCCTATGAGGCACACTTGTAAAATGGGAAGTGGGCTTTTACTACAGCAAGTGGCTGAAAGGTTTATGGCCTGTGTGTGGATTTATGAGATTGAGGGCTGTCTTCCACCAGGTAACAAAACACTGATCTGCACAGCACTGCTGACCCAAATGAAGCCAAAACACAGGGCAAAAGCAGGCAACCCTTTCATCATCCCTTTATCACCCTGCACTGTGCCAGGTGATCTGATTGGTTCAAACCATGTTAATGCCATAAATTGGCAAGCACTGAATCTGGTCAATTATTAGCCAGACTATCATTAACATTACCTAGAGAATTAACATTACCTACAGCATGATTCATTAAAGTTTAAGTAGACTAAGGAATTCTGACCCAAAATTGCATGGCTTATTTGTGAGCTGTGGAGTTAGACACACTAAGTAGCTATATCTCACCCTATCCCTTAAGCCCTTATTGTTCATTTTATGAAAGGGATGCAGTGAGAATCAGCAACATCATCAAAATGAAAAGTCACTTTAAAAGAAAATAGTGTCTGTTTTATATGTGTTGGAAGATATAAAAACATTAAATAGGATCACCTATTTAGAAAAAGGTACCACAATCTTCCATTATAGAAATGAATGTTAGTTTTTTACCAAACATCACTGAGAGACGAGACTGATCAGTCTCTAGCACAAGGGGAAATACACTGCAAGGGTTCCCCTGCCAGCCAGGCTTTCACGCAGGCTGAAGACGCACTTTGTGGGTTTCCAGACACGGAATAATGATCCCTTCTTGAATGAACACTGGTAAGTGCGAATCTGAGATCGATGAGTTAAATGAGTGATTAAGGAGATCTGATTTTCTCTGTTGTGCTAAAACTGATAGCACAATGTTTTCATATAAATTAGGATTCCAGAAAAAGCAGTTAGTAGGGATTTTGGTATTTTGTCTTGGTTTCTTTCTTCAGATGTGTTTGGGGTGGTCCACTGGTGACCGTTAATAGAAAGAGGCTCTTACTTTCCGGCCCTTCAGAGGCTGTGGTGGACGATGATTACTCAAGAGAAAGGCTGCTGTTTCTCCTTCCGCTGTGCACAGGAGGCTGCGGAATGTGGCCAGCTGTTGAAGAACAGAGGGGTAGTTGCAGTATTCTGAGTCACACAAATGTTAATGAAATGATCTGCACAGAAATTTTCATTCATTCATTCATTCATTCATTCACAATGTTTGCTTACTTTTCTCAGGTATATACCCCATGGATTTCCACCACCAATTCATCTGTGCACCATCACCATAGTCCCTTGTGTTCTTCCTGCCCTTGCCCTGGCCTCTTTCCTTCTCCCTTCCCCTGCAGAATATTTTTGATTTGTTGCTTGGTTTTGTTGTGTCTTCTATTTTTATTATTATCTTTCCCCCGGTCCCTCATTCAGTTCCACTATATTCCTCTCATAAGTGAAACCATCCGATATTTTTCTTTTTCCTTCTAACTTTTCTTACTGAGCACAATCCCTTCTAGCTCCATCTATGTTGCTGCCAATAGCTATGATAATATACATAGGAACCCCTAAAAATTCCACAGAAAAACTACTCCAAAAAATCAACCAGTTCAGTAAAGTAGCAGGATACAAAATCAACACACAAAAATTAATAGCCCTTTTATGTACAAGCAGCCATTTTGAAAAAGAAATTACGAAAACCATCCCATTTATAATTGACACCAAAAAAAATCAAATAGTTGGGAAGAAACATAATGAAAGAGATAGGGAAAGTACCTCTCCAAAGAAAATTATAAAACATTGTTAAAAGAAATTGATGAAGATAATAAAGAAATGGAGAGGCATCATCTGGTCATGGGTGGGAATAATCAACATCACAGAAAGTTTAAGAAACAGAAAAGCCTTTCCTCCATGATGAACTAAAATATTACAAATATTCTAAAATTTTACAAAATATTACAAATGTTCTAAGGTATGTGTCACACATAATAAAGCAACAATTCTACTAATTTCTCACCACTACACAAATACCTAAGGGCTTAAAATTTAAGCAGGTAGCATTTTGACTTGAAGATCAACGTTAAGTTCAAGAAACATTTAGAACATGGCTTCAGACCATTTCTACGTATGTAGAAAGCAGGATGCCACATACATAGGCAGGATAGGGTCATGGAAAGGGCGCTGCCTGGCTTTCCAGGATGGGTCCCCAGCCTTGGTGCTGTTACTGTGCAGCTGGGTGACATTGGTCAAATAGTTTATTGTCTCTACACTGCAGACTGCTCATCTATAAGTGAGTTGATGATTAGATTACTTCCAGAGTTATCTTTCAGCTCTTGGAAAACTTACAACGTCACCAATTTATATCACATGGCCCCAGTTTTTATGGGAGTCATGTGGTTTTCATCTTGTAAAATTTTATTTTCTAAGCATTATTTCCTCAGACAATAATTTTGCTCTCAACACATCTGTGCCTTGCAAATACCTGATTATGGAAAAAGCCTAGAATAATGTTGGAATCAGCCTCTGATAATGTTTAAATACTATTTAAGCACAGGCATTTTTCTTACCAAAAGGGCTTACTTTTCTTACAAATATGTACCTATCTTACAAGCTAGATGCAATGAACAAAGAAGGAAAGAGAAACTACCAGTAATCATATCACAAGATATAGCCCTATTAAGATTATATATTATTATATCCTTCCAGATGTTTTGTTTGTTTGTTTATAAACATGCAGGCCCATGCACACATGCTTTATACGTGTTTTAGTACAAAAATGAACGCAACTATACATGCTCTTCTGAAACCTTATTTTTTTGCCTAATATATACCAAGCAGCTTTACATGTCAGAAATCCACTGCTTTTTATTACTGAAAAATTTTCTATTGTAAGCATGTATTTATTATAAATTATATAGTAGCTTCTTAGTGATTTAATACTACTTATCAAGTTCAAGACTTTGCACAGGTCTGCAGTAGTAAAATGAAAACTGGGTAAATGACCTGAATAATCCTACTGTTCACCAAAAACATATTGCCAATTAATATAATTAAGTTTTAGGATTTGTTTTGCTATTTCATTTGAATGTGGACAAGTTATTAAATTGTTGATGAGAAATTCCATCTTGTAGGCTTTGCTAGTCACCTAATTAAAGAGACGAACAAATTCAGACTAGCATCCGTCAATTGAGTTCCCAGCAGCATCATTTAACTGAAGCCTAAAATAGTTTCATGCTGTATTCTTCAGGATGGGAGGTAAAGAGGATGAGCCCAGTAACAGTAAAAAGGCAACAGTGTATAACCACACTCTATGGAAATAAATTCGGGCCTCAGATATAAACAGCCATGTATTTCCACAAATGACATTTTGAGGTATATTTTTAAATGGCAAAAATATGGGAAGGATAAGACAAATATTTACAGCTCAGTTTTCTCTCAAGTGACAAACTGCTATAGCTTTAACTGCACTTAGGTAATTCCCTGGGAGAGTCACGCAGCAGAAGCTAATAAAATATAACCTGAGGAGACACACTGGAAGATACTCAGTTTCCTGCAAATCACAGTAATCCAGGCATGTCTGGAGTGGCCAGGGTTGTCTATGCAAGAATCCTGAGTCTGAAACAGGGAACTGACTCACTGGCCTCACTTGGCTTAACTAGTCTCCCAGGAAAACTGCTGACTTCTCTGGAAATCTTGGCTCTATTTCCCCCACTACTAACACCTCTGCAAGTTGCAAGGCTCCCTACTTCTGCAAACCTTAGTCTAGGACTTGCGTTTATCTAGATCTTTCTCTGAACAGCCTGTGACTGTTGGTAGGGTTCCCTAAAACTATTCTGACGTCTCATCAAGCCCCCTCCCCTTTGGCTGTGGAGCTCCCTGGCAAACACCCAACCAGGAAGTTCCTGCATCAGACAATCCTCCATTCAGATTTGCTTCTCCTGGCTCTGGAGTCCTCTACACCCACTCTGATTTCCAAATGTACCCTCTGACTGACCCCAACCAGTTTCAATCCTCCCTGGTCCCTTGGCTCCATTCAGAAAGTCTGTCCTTCTTCCCCTAAAGTTGAGTCAGCAACTTGTGGCTTCTGGCAGGAGTCTCCTCAGAGTCCCCCAGAGGCAGAAGTGGGCATGATATGTTCTGCTATTTTCTTTGGCTCTAATACTCAAATTTTAATTTGCTTGTAGAACAATCCCAGTAAGCAGAAATACACCTTTTATTGTGTCATTCTAATGCACAAATATCTTCATAAGCATTCTCTCACCTGCAAAAAGCTGAGCAGTAATAAAAATAAACTCTCTGTAATGGAATGTACTGGGCCAGGTTATATGATAAAATGATAAAGAGTATTATATATTAAGTGAAAATTAATGTTGAAATAAATGGAGTCTTTCCTCATTTAATCCCCAAACAATCCTATCAATAATACACTATTACCATCATTTGAAAGATGAAGAACTTCAGAGGTAGTTAAAAATTTTAAAGTGAGCCAGGTGGCAAGTAAGTCATTCATTAACCACACCACTATATTGCATTTCTTCTTTTTACTTCTTGCTTTTGAGCATCTCTCCCTAATATTTTCTATTTGTTTTTTACAGTAAAAATTTTTAAACATAGACAATGGTAAAAAGAGAAACATAACAAACCAACATGAACCTATCACCCAGTTTCAACAGTCATCACTATGTGGTCAGCTTTGTTTCACCTGCACTTCCAACCCATTTTTTCCCCCTCTCTACCTCCTATCCTGCCCACACTGGATTATACTGAAACAAATTTCAACTTTATCATAGCATCTTAGATGTAAATATTTCAAAATGTTTCCCTAAAAATATATTATATGTCATATGAAAAAATGTTCAACATCACTCGTAATAAGGGAGATGCAAATTAAAACCACAGTGAGATACCACCTCACCCCAGTGAGAATGGCACATCTTCAAACAACTAGCAACAAAAATATATTATATGTCTAATATTTTAAGAAGTCCCCAAAACAAACTTGTTGGCATGAGTCATTTGACCAGTTACGACTAACCTTCCTAGACCATCTCTTAATACTCCACACTCACGTCCCACTCTACACCACTTTAGTGGAGTTATCCCAAAGCAGCTCGATAACAATCTTTGGAATGATTCTGTAACATTCAGATTCTTGGATCCAGAACCTTGGCCCCAATCCCTGTGGATCAGAATTCCCAAGCCTTCCCAGGGGATTCTTGTATACACTAAAGTTTGAGAACCACAAAGTTGCCCACATATTTCTGTACTTCCCTGTCTTGCCTTTATGCTGCTGCTTCTTGAAATTCCCCTTTCTTTCACTACTCCCAGACAGCTGCCCAATGTCTGCTACTTCAGGAAGTCCTTTGTCCTTTTCCCTCTGAATTTCTCTTACCTATTTATTTTCTTATGATACCAACACAGTCACTGTATTATTTATATGCCCTCTATTTTATCCCCTCTCTAATAAGCTACCTAAAGGTTTTAAGCTACTTGAAGACGAGTTGTTTTCAACTGTTCTTTGTATCTCCTACATCACGCCTTCTAAGACTGACAGTAATTAAACAACTCAAAAATGACATGTATTGACTTCTACTTTAATTTGAAAGCAAATGATATGAGTTTTATATATTAAGTGAAAATTAATGTTGAAGCAAATGGAGTCTTTCCTCATTTCACATATAGCCTAGCTCATTATCATTGATGCAAAGTGTAGAATTTTATAATGATAAAAGAATACTAGAATTTTGGTTCCAGAGATGCTGGACCTAAAGCCTGTATGACAACCTCTCAATAGAAAATAACTCTAAAACCTAGACAAGCTACTGAAAACAACTCTGTAGTTGTGGTATATGGAGCGAACAGAAACAGACTCAGGTGGGGTTGGGGAGCTCACTGTCACTTGAAGGAGAGACAAGAGCTCACTTGTGAGTTATGTTGTCACTCACTTATGAAGTCGCTACAAGTGAGCCCTGTCTCTCCAGTTTTTCAGCTCAGTGGCATCTGCAAGGTCCACCCAGTACAATGGGACACACCTATTCTGTGAGGAAGAACCAGAGAAGGCTCCCCAATGTCTCTATCCCTGAATTATGCATTTTTTATAGCATAGAAACTACAAACACACCAGCTGAAGTGAGACTGGAGCTGCTGCACAAGAAAGAAAAGCTGCAGGTTATGTCCAGCCCAGGAAATAATCTGCTTAAAGAAATAAAATAATACTCATGGGAGAAGGGCAGAATCCAGAATTTCTAAATTTAATGTTTATAACATGTATAATGAACACATAAATTACTCACCATGTGAGGAGTCAAAAAGAAAGGGCACAGGCCCTCCCTGGTGGCGCAGCGGGTTAAAGCACAGCACTGAGAATCTAAAGCAGCTTCCGCATGAGTTCAATTCCCGCCTGCCCCGGAGGTGACCACATGGCGTGGCAGACCTCTCCTGACCCGCCCGCTGCTCCCCTCAGCAGTGTACTTCGTCGATCTGCCTGTTCTGCTCCCCACTCTGTCTCTGGTGAATCCTCTCACCCTCCGCATCTCTGGCCTGTACCCCAGTTCTGTGTGAATAAATAAATAAATCTAAAAAAAAAAAAAAAAAAAGAAAGGGCACAATGTTAAAGAAAGGAAATCAAGTCCAATCCAAGATGAGCCATCTAGGCCTCTCTCAGTTAAGTCAAATTTCAGTAAGTGAGTCTGAGAAACTGGACTTGAATCAAGAAAAAGAAAATAAAACACATCTGATTCAACTTCCTGGTCAGATAGTGATTTGGCAAGAACTATCTATATAAAAACCCAAGAAAAAAATTGGCATCAATTTACTTAAACTAGGAGTTATTCTTCATAGTGACGCTCTATGGTGAAATAAGAAAATGATTAAGTATATTTCCCAATAACTCCAAAAATAAATAGTTGTCAAAGGTGAGATAAAAATTGTCTCTTGAGGCTCTCCCGAGTGGCTCAGTGGGTTAGGACACAGCACTGCAGGCTGGACACAGCACTGCAGGCTGGCCGCTGCCTCTTCAGTGCAAGTTTGTTCCCAGGCCCCAGAAGTGACCACATGGTGCAGCAGACCTCTCCTGACCCGTCCGCTGCTCCCCTCAGCAGTGTCCATCTGCCTGTTCTGCTTCCTGCTTTGTCTCTGGTGAATCCTCTCACTGACCCTGCACATCTGACCTGTACCCCATTTCTGAATAAATAAATAAATCTTTTAAAAAAATTTTCTCTTGAAAATAAATTTTAAGTCAGTGATATAACAAAAGACATTTTCACTTTATTTTAAAAAGCTAAGGAATTGCATAATCATAACAACAGTCTCATGTTTGGAATCTTTTAAATAACCTTTTATTTCTGAACACTTTTAGGCTTACAGAATTATTGCAAAATAGTATGAACAATTCTTATACACCTCACACTCAGTTTCCCCTATTATATTAATATGCTGTTATCAGTGTGGTATATTTTTCACAATGACCCAATATTAGTATACTACCATTAACAGAGCTCCATCCTTTATTTAGAGTTCCTGTGTTTCTAATGTTGCTTTCTGTCCCAAGATCTCGCCAAAAATTGGCACTATGCTTAGTAGCTATGTATCTGGGGTATTTCTTGATTATAAAAACTTCTCAGCCTTGCTGTGATGACTTTATTTGGATGAGTACTGCTGTCTACAGCCACTGTTGCATGAGTTAGATACTCTGCCAGAGAGATAAACCCACATGGCACAGAAAATCTCTCCTGTCTCACCTGTTGCTCCCCTCAGCAGTGTATTTCAGTAAATTCACCTGCTCTGCTCCCCACTCTGTCTCTGGTGAATCCTCTGTCTCACCCCCTGTGCCTCTGACCTGGACCCCAGTTCTTGTATGCATAAATGAGAAATCTTTTAAAAAATTATCATTATTAATTGATCTCAAGTAAGACAGTAGTGAATTCATAGCTAAGCAGTTATAATTTCTAAATGCAGGAATTGATTTTTGATTGGGCTAACTGTATGCATTTTAAGTAACTAAGTTTCATTTTGATATATTCTTTTCCAAATCACAAGTGTATTTAAAAAAAAAACTTATTTTCCAAGTGCCTTTAAGGAATAAAAAATATTCTTAAAATATGTGATAAATACATGATTTTGATGTAAAAATGTATTATCTCTTTTTACTAATCTGTTCAAATTTTACAAAAGAATATCAAAGTAAACAGTTTCATACATGAAAGGGAGACAAATGAACTCCACTAATCAGGCCTTGGAATCAGTGACAAGTTATTTTTCTTACGATGCAACTCACATTATTTATTATGGAAGAAATTCACAGGAATTTCCATGTCAGTCAAGCTGTGGATTTCTATTCATACTAGAATAAAATGTTTTAATAAATGTGCCTCAGATTATGATTTGGCTTTCATCCTATAAGGCCAGGTCAACAGAAGTTGGATAAGTTTAACATACCAAGGGGAAATGTTACCTGATATGACCTTGGTAAAGCAAACCCAGCTCTAGTCTTTGGTGGGGGAAAGAGAGGTTTGGGGTATGAATGGAAAAAAGGGGGGCAAGTCCAGTCTAGAAATTACTAGATTCTGTTCTTGTTAAGACTTTGCAAAAACAAAACCCCTAAGCACATGATCCAGAACAAGCAGCTTCCACCTGCCAAATTATGTATCACATGGTTCAGGGCTCTACACAGCAACGCTGGACATCAAAGGCATCCTGAGCCTGTACCTTGTTTGCCCTGTCCTTAAGGCTCAGTAAGTACTCATCAGAAAAGCACAAGAGTAGCCAGCTTCACTGCAACAGCAAAGACAGCGACTGCCTCCAAGCTAATGTGCAAAACCTCACAGAAAACCCCACAAATATTCTGTCAACAGAAGATAGACAAAATGTTTGAGTCTTCCATTAGGTAGACATACAGGTTTCTTAGTGTGCAGTGTCTATCACTGTCCCCTCTGTGCAGGCTGTGAAGGTAAAGGCTGTCAGAGAAGCAGGTGGAGGCATTAAGGTGGAAAAGAAGAATGCTACCTTTTAAGATGATCTCAGCCCTGAGCTTCCTGTTTGTACACCAGTCTGTTTCCACTTTAGAAAATAAAAGCAGGCCCTCCCTGGCAGCTCAATGGGTTAGGACACAGCACTGTAAGCTGGCCATAGCTGTTTCAGTGCAAGTTTGACCCCCACCCGAGAGGTGACCCACATGGCACAGCAGACCTCTCCTGACCTGCACACCTCTCCCCTCAGCAGTGTAACTCATCAACCTGCCTATTCTGCTCCCCACTCTGTCTCTAGTGAATCTTTTCACCACCCCTGCACCTCTGGCCTGTACCCCAGCTCTGTATGTATAAGTAAATAAATCTTTTAAAAAAGAAAGAAAACAAAAGCAAGTGGTTATAGCCTTCAAAGGCTACAGCACTTTCTCCTGTGTATCTGGATGCTCATTATATTTTTAAGAAGTGCAAAAGAAAATATCTGATCACAGAAAGTCAACTAAGAAGACGGCAAAACTCTCTCTGTTCCAACCACCTCCCTGAAGAATGTAGAGAAACACAGGTTTCATAATGCAGCAGAAATTGGGATTTTTTTTTTAACTACTAACCTGTGTTTCTCTAATGAATTAGGATAAATCTGGATGAAGTGACTTACCTGTTGAGAGCTGATATTTATAGGATGTTTTAAAACGATCCATGTGACACTCTCTAGAAGAGGTGGGACTGTAAGAGAACCAGGATATGTCCAGTAGTCCCAGGATGGAGGAAGCAGAGATATTGGATCAAAATTTGTGAATCGGGTTTGTTTACCCTGGAAAAGAAAAAAGAATTCCCACAAATTACAAAAGGATCGCTTTATACCCACCTCAAAACAAAACAAAAAATCCAATGAAATATTGTTTTGCTGGGATTCTTTAATTCACAGAGTTACTTGGTGTCTGTCTTCAGTTTCTAAGAAGTAAAGGTTTTGCTTTACTCTAAAATTTTTAGATTAGGATCACATCATCTAGATTTAGGAAGCATGAGATTTATTTTAATGTAAGTAATCTTTAAAGTATGTTGCAGCTAAAGGCTTATTCTGTAAAACTCCAGCACCAAATACTAAATATGCATAAAAAGATTTAATAGTGATTATTCTAGACAATTAAGATTTCTTTATAATTATTAAAAGATTAGAAATAATAGTTACTTCTGTTCTACTGGTCAAATATGTTCCAAACCTTCAAAGCAGATAGGAATGTGTATCTAAGAAGGTCAGAGAAGATCTTAAAAGAAGGTAAGAGAATCTGGGAGAAAACAAGGAATGTATTAGTTATTAACAAGTAGCAATTGTTTTTACCTTTTCTTTAATGGAATCCAAAATGTCAGTAATTTTTTGCAATTGGGAATTATGCTCACCAATCTGAAAATGTGAAATTTCAAAAGAAAGGGTTACTGTAGCAGATCAGGTTCAAATCAGTATATTTTACTCACTATGTTAAATTCTTTAAAAAAAAAAAAAGTAAAGAAAAGAAAACCTAAGTCAGCCCAGAACAAACAGTGATTGTTCTATAATAAGGCTCTCTTTTACCTGCTGGTCTTATCATGCCAGGAAAATCTGAAGGAGATAATATTACAGGAATCCTTGGCTGAACGAACAGTAACAGCTTCATATTTCTTTAGCTTTATGAATGTTTGAGGTACTTGAGACAAACCTTGCTTAGCAAACTCTTACATAATAATCCATATGTGACTTTGAGACCCTACATCCAACCTGACTATTATAATATCAAAACATTTGTGGAAACATGTTTTGTTCCCCCACATGAAAGTAGGGGAATCATCTCCCACTTTCAGCCTACATGATTTGAGGTACCAACTCAAGAGGAGAATTCACCAGAATAGTTGTCACTAGAGGTATCGTGAGTCTACCCTAAGATCTTAAATCCTTCATATTAAAGTAAATTTCTTCTCCCATTTGGATTTTACTGCCACTATCAAGCTTGGTGGCTAAAGGAAGGGAATCCACACCAATCTCTGTGATGCCCCATGCTCCTCCCAACCCCCAGTCCCAGCTCCAACAGGTCTCTGAATCGCAGAGTTAATGGCATAGCAAACATGCACACCCTACAGAATGTGTTCACAATGGGAGTTGAGAGACTCAACCCACCACAGGTGAAATTACTTTTCTGATCACATGTGAAAATTAGACAAAGGAAAATACCACAAAAGTTGGCAATAACTGGCCAGTGGGTTTGGGATAACAAACCATGGTGGTCAGACTAGTGCTTCAAAAATCAGGAACTTGGCCAACACCCTCCCCTGTATCATTAAACACTGTGCAAACAGGAATAGTCAAGAATAAAGATATTCCTTTCATGATCACAGGTGTTACTTCTGCTGTAATTGTTGATGTTACTATTCACATAATAATGATCAATGGACAATAAGAGGCATCATAAGATGATACACCAAAGGGTAGTTCTGGGCCATCAAATGAACCATAAACTAAAACATAATATATTTCTTCCTCATTTTGAAAGAAAACATTAAACTAAGAACCAGTTTACTACTTAAAAAAAAATGGTCGACTGACTATTCCATGACTTAATCTCTTTATCTAACATAAGTGATTATAATTATTTAAAATGAAATCAGTGAATTCTTACCTGTAAAAATACTCCCAAGACAGCTAGTCCATCTGGCTTATGAGCTGCTTCAACAAAATTGGGGTATTTGTCTGAATTCCAGTGAACAACATGGAGCTGCAAGACAAGTACACAACATAATCTTACCGTTACTTTTTAAACGTCCTTAAAATCATAAATGCAGATAAAACATTTATACACATGGTCTGGTTCTGTGTATTCATATGGATAATGGGCTCTTCACAAGAATCTTGCAAAGAATTCTTCTTTTCATTTTTGTCCAAAGAATAAAGCAAAAGTGAAGGACTGTGGCCACCTAGCTAGTGTGTGGTGTCCTACAGTAAGGTCTTGCCACCATTTAGAATTCCCTGGAGCATCCTATGGGACAACCATAGCTCTAACCATGTGCAACCATTGCTCCCCAGGGACTAGGGCTTCCCCAAGACTTGTGTGTGGGATTGCAATCACATGGTGATAGGTCAGATCCCAACTGGCAGATACCACTGAACAAACTTAGACTAACAGAATCCACTGCATGAGAAGCCAAGTTTATTTGAAATAGAGTTTCAGAGATAATTTTAGTGCCAAGGACGATGCCAGGTGTTCCTGAAACTGTCCAGTCATATTCATCACTTCATTTCAGATATTAGAATGTGCAAAGATTCCTTAAGAATAACTATGTTAAGAAGTACTCCAACTACCTTCTATGACTATGTTCAAATCCTTTGCTAAGAGCAAGTATTAATGAGAAAAGAGAGAATTCGGGGTCAAGAGATCCTTGAGTCTGAGGTAAAAATGAAAAGCAGCTGGTGCTAATGAGGAGGGGGGAAAAGAAAGGATGGGAGTGGGTAAGAGCAAAAGGGATCTGGAATTCTAGAAGGCAGACTTCACCTACTCAATGATTTTTTTTGCAAAATTCAAAGATATTAGCTTTACCATTGTTAACATAGCAGCAGCACCAAAATGCAAGCAATTGCAAACAATTGTAGGGTAATAAGGTAGAAACCCACTCTTTCTAGTTTAACATGTTCAAATACATGTTTTTATTTCATCCTTTACATATGACTTCATATCTTATAGGCAACTAACAAAAGGAAATTTGTGGATTAAAAAAAGCTATAAACAGTGAACAACAAAACTCTAAACTAGTATACTTCCATAACAAGGTAGGAAAGCCAGGTGATATCCAGGTAGAACATAAAATACTGAACTCTGTGATGCCATATTCTAACTGGTGTGAGAGAGATGGGGGAGGAACAAAACCTGAAGACACTAGATGATGAAACAAAATTTATTTGGTTCACAGATGACAGATGAAATTCCACTGTCAGGGAGGGGCTGTAAAGAATGCTAAAGTTGTTTAAAATGGCTCTATGCCAACCCATCAGTTCATTTGGCAACAGATAACCATGAAGGGACTGAGTAGTGAAATGATATCTTCACAGTCACAACCACAGGCAACTAGAAACTGAACTGTAACTAAACAAATGTGAGTTTATACAGCCTACTAGTTACAAAACAAACATTTAGAAGTATTATGAGAACTAGAGCAAGAACATTGCTTTAAAACAAGAAAGTCCTCTCTCCCACACATCTTGCCTATCTAGGTAAAATCTTCAAGGTAATTGATAACACTTTTATTAGCATTTCTATTTGATGTAAAACTCAAAAAATAAAGAGAAACTGAAGTTACCTGATAACATTGCTCTTTCTTGCCTAAAAGACTCACAAGCCAACTTATTTTCACTTACATAGCTCTGGTTGCATCACACAATCCACTTTCATCTGTCTCACAGTAAAGTTGGATGTGAGCAATATTTAATCATATTAAAACTTATTTTAGGCTTTGTTATTCAATTAGAGGATCAGAAGTAGTATTTTTTTTTTTAATATGGAACACTTCACAAATTTGCATGTCATCCTTGTACAGGGGCCATGCTAACCTTCTCTGTATTGTTTCAATTTTAGTGTATGTGCTGCCAAAGCAAGCACTAGAAGTAGTATTCTTAATGAATCTAATTATAAAAAAAAGGAGTACACTTCCAGTGAAAAAGAAACAAGTCAATGAATTATGCTTTAACCAAAGAACTATAGCATTTAGGAGAGGCTGTGTCCTTATTTTTTCCCCCTAAAAGGAAATTTGCTATTTGCTATCACTTCTATATTTTGGACTTTACATCACATTATTGTATATTTGTATCTTGACCAAATATGTAGACAGTAGGTCCTAAATCAAATGTTTCTTTCCTCTCTTATAGGCATTTCTGGAACCATAACAGAAATTGTCAAAAGAGCTTGCAAAATGATACAGACAGATATGGACTTAAACCCACCTCAACTGCTTCCTAGCTGGCCTTAATCTTTGCAAGTCTCCAGTTTACTTATTTCTAAAATGGACCCAATAATCCTAAGCTCTTAAAGTTGCTTTAAGGCTGAGGACTGCATTTGTAGCTCTCTTATTGATAAAGTCTCGTATTGATGGACTAAAGTAATTTTAACCATGAGGTGCTTAGTTGGCTCAGGATCTATCTGGAAAACAGGGAGTTGTTTGTCTTCTGGGCTCCTGAAACCCTATTGCATAGGAAAACACTGAGTCATCACAGTCTGATGACTTACCTCAGCAGCATACCTCACTCCATCCACAATGTGTTCAGAGCCGTGATCATCCGCAGACCCCCAATGCAGGTGAAACTGTCTTAATCTGTAGCTTCCGGTCAGGGGACCCCCACACAGAACTAAATACCAATACATTTTTAAATGTTAGCAAGAAGAAAATATTTACACATGCATTCACAACTTACAACATCTCCATATGAACTCGACCTTCCTGTAATATCCTCTGTGAAAGTTTTTATAAATGTGTCCTGTATTTTGCTGACAAGAATGTAACTTTCAGGTGTAAGGAGAGCAAAACAAATGTTTTAAAAGGTTAGAGAGTTCATACTGCATATGAACATGTGGGAAGTCACAACAGACACATTGGTTAGAAAGGAGAAGAAATTAGTAGTTCTTCAAGATAAGGAGCCAGTTGTTCTGTTGAACAGAGGATATCAGGCCCTCTGACCTAGGGTGTGAAATGCAAAGGGGCCATCTTGAATTCGGTCAAGCAGTCCAGTGATGATGGTTAGAGTGTAGCCTTCAGCACTGGGAAGACCTATGCTCTTACTCTCTTTACTGACTGCTCTTACACAAATCCTTTAATGTCTTTATCTTCAAGACAGTAATGTCCCTCTTTATGCTGCAGTGAAAACAGAAAAATTAAACACAAAGTACTAATCACTGCCTAGAACCTAATCAACATACTTGAACATATTAGCTATTATTGTTCCTGCAAAAGCTATTAAATAAGCACATGTTCTGTACTTGAGATCTGTCTTCTTAGCAAAACAACATATAGGACAACTCTTCTTTAAAAATACTCATTATATATTTGTCACTCTGAGTATATAAAAATACTCATTATATATTTAGTACAAATATAATGCCCACAAATATAATCTCTAAAATTATAGCAATAAAGTCATACATTAAGTATATATAGAAAAGTTTCTTACTAGAAAACAAATCCCTTACTATCTCCTTTCAATTAATCTTGATTGGGTGGACTTCAAGGATATGGGGGGATAAGAAAGGCTTGGATGTTGAAGACACCATACAGGTTCCTAAACTCCCATCAGCATCCAACTTAGGTGTCAGGCTAGTGACGACAGCCTTAACACATACTATTCTTTCATATAACATACTCTTCAGAGGCTGTATGTACATATATTTCTCAAAATGTCAACAATAACACACTTTACATAAGAAGTAAAGGTGGTAAGAGATATCACAGGCAGTTTTCTACAAACAGCAAGAAAAGGAAAAATATTATAGACTGAGATTCATTTCTCTTTGCGCTTTACCACAGATAAGGAATTATCCAGACTATCCATATTGACCAAGCCAATTGAACTCATCTCTTCGTATGCAGTTGGACTCAGCTGAAATTGAACACCAACAATTAAGAGCTGGTGTAGTGGCTGGAATCAGCAGACCTGGGAGAAGTCCCAGCTCAGCTACTAAATAAATTATATGATCTTTCAAAACTTAAGCCTCTGTAGGCTTCATGTTTCTTGTCTATGTTTGTATTTGTTGTTCTGTCTATTTTTTAATTAGGAGATTGGATTGCATGACCCTTGTATAATTCTAAAAAACTGCTTAGGGAGAAATATTGAGCATATATAATAGAATTTTTTTAGAAAGTTGAATGGTTGGGGTCTCCTTCAGATTCATCTGGATCCTGATTTCTTTACAATAATTAATGATAGTTGTTTTCAAAGATCTCTTAAAAATAAGAGAGAACCACTTACATCAGACTCTAGAGATCATTCTTCCATTACTGTTAAAAAGAATAATTTTGGCCCCTCCCTGGTGGCACAGCGGGTTAAAGCACAGCATTGAGAATCTAAAGCCACTTCCGCATGAGTTCGATTCCCGCCTGCCCCAGAGGTGA